GGGCGGACAGCACCTCCGCCGCCCCCTCCGGCGGTAGATCGAACCGAGGGCGGAGCGGCGGGGACGGCAGGGGGCGCGCTCCGCCCGCGCAGGCCGGCGGCTTAGGGCCATTCCTAGGGGGCCCTTTTCCGCCTCCGTCCTGTCTTCCCCACCCCATTCGCATTCTCTTCGCTGGTCTCTATTCCTCTGGCATTGGCTTTTTGCCTTCTTCCTCATTCCCTCCTCCATCGTCAACTTCCTTTTGTCCCTTATTCTCGCCTCTGTAATTTCCTCCCGTGCCCACACTATGCCCAGTACTTTACTGGTCCTCTCACCTTTCCCCCTCCATCTTTCTCACATCCTTTACATTATTTTCCTTCCTCCCACTCTTCTTCCCTTTTCCGTCTTCGTTTCTATTCCTATGCCCCTCTATTTGATTAGCTCTTTCCCATCTCTCATTCCCTATCCCAGTCCGTCTTACCCCATTTTTCCTCATCTCTCCCCTTTATTTGTATTTCGTCTGTCTATCTCTGTCTCCCTCCCTCGCTCTCTCTATTCCTCTCTTCTGCTATTAATTTCCCTGATTGGCTCCCTGGCTCCAGCGCCGCTGATGAGCCCTATTCATTCCCCGGCCTGACACTCTCGACCTGCCCTGGCTGATTGCTGGGGGCTGGCCCCAGGAGCGCTGATGAGCCCCAAGGGTCAGCAGCGCTAATTATCCGCTAATTACGGATGACTCTGCTCACCTCCCCCATTCTCAGACACAGAAATGTTGGCGCCTTTTACTGTCCCCTTCCTCCTGATTCCCAGCAGTAAAGTTGTCAACCTAGAAGCAAAAGTCACAGACACTTCGACCTGATAAGCTCCTCAGGCCAGTGGGCAAGAAAGATTTCAGACAGACAAGTCAACAGAGGAGTGACCCAAGCTTCAGGACACAGAGCAAGCCTGGCCAGCTAAAGTGAGTGTCATTTGGTCACTAGAAAACTGTTATTCAGATGGAGCCAAGGAGAGCCAAGCTAGTTAAAATTAATAATAGCAAAGCCAGGCAAGTTTAGGAAGATGAAGTCTAGGTAGGGGAAGTGAATTAGCTCAGTTGAGGAGGAAAACCTATATCAGAATCCCAAGGTTCCTGTGACAAGACAGAGCAGGGCAGGAGGGACCTCTGGATCTCAGTAACATTTGTTCCAATTAAGAGTGTTGTTGGTCGCCCGGTGGCGCACTGCTACAGTGCGCTGCTTGAGAGAGCGGCGGCGCTCCCGCCGAGGGTTCGGATCCCACATACAGACCGGCCGCTCACTGGGCTGAGTGAGGTGCAGGCGCGACACTGAGGGTTGCGATCCCGTTGCCGGTCCCGGTCCGGTACAGGCGCAACACTGAGGGTTGCGATCCGTTGCCGGTCACGAAAAAAGACAAAAAAAAGGGAAAAAAAAAAAAAGAGTGTTGTGTTGGCCTAGTGAGCACTGCTAATATCAGGCTAACATATTTAAAATCAGCACCCTGAAAGACATTGTAACCAGGGTGGCACTGAGGAAAAAGGCAGGACTCAAGAAGTGAGCTTTCCTTGGTTATGCCCTGATTGACAATTCATCAGTGAAGGAAAACAGAGAAAAGTGTCACTTCCATGCCGTCTTGATCTACCTTGGGCTCTACATTAAACACAGTGAAACTTCTAAGAGATGAGTCTGGTGGGAAAATGTCACCATGGAGAAAGAAGAGTGGACTTAGCTTAGATTTGGAAACCCCAACTCACTACTAAAGAACTAGGATATATCCTTGTCTAAAGACATTCTTCAAAACAACACTTTGTTAAATTAACCAAGTGCTACTTCCATATAGAAGATCAGAGTTCAAAAATGTATTTCAAAAGCGAGAGGTCAAGTACATGGTTTGAACGTTTTATAGTGTTGGATACATAAGAGAGGTTTATTGGCTTGGTAAATTATTGAGGTAACTTTAGGCTACAGTAAGTGAAATTAAAGCTGTATGAACATTTACAGCGCCAATCAAATAAGACATGAAGGAAGGGTCATTTTTATAAGTAATTTCAGGGCCGGCCTGTGGCTCACATGGGAGAGTGCAGTGCTGATAACACCAAGGCCACTGGTTCAGATCCTATATAGGGATGGCTGGTTAGCTCACTGGGTGAGCATGGTGCTGACAACACCAAGTCAAGGGTTAAGATCTCCTTACCGGTCATCTTTAAAAAAAATAATAATAAAAGTAATTTCATTCATTTTTTGCATAGGTAATAAAATCACATAGTATAAAATTCCAAAATCTCAAAAGGATATATATTGAAACGTCTCCCTCCCACCAGTTCCCCCAATAAAAGGCCACTTTAATATGCCTGTCACTCTCTGCTGGGACAGAATGAATCAGGCATTGTCCAGAACTCAAGGTTAAAGACCCTCTGATTTTGAAGATATATGTCACCCTGCTCAAGTCAAGGGATTACTGCTCAGAACTACATGCAGTAAAGTGGATTTTCTACTCAAGCTGGCACAGAGAATACAGGCTTAAAGCTTGGTGCCAACAAATCCCAGTGGGCCATCAGCTCTGAACTGAGACAAGTGAGACCTCAGAGACTTTGTATGACCTGGTGTGGTTCAGGTTAGATACTGTAATTGATAACCCATTTATATCTTCAATCTGTTCCCTTGACATGCTGGGATCATAAAGTATGACTTCTGTGTAGTACCTGACATTCAATAACATTCACATACACAGTGACAACTGCTGGAGCCCATTTCCTTTCCCCACCCTTTCATGGAGTGTGGAACTGAGGCCACATGGTCAATGGAAAAAAAAGTATTGACTGGAGTAAAAAGACCTGGAGTCACATTCCTGTTCCAACCCCTCACTGGGCTATGTGAATTTGGCCCCTCTTGGACTTAACATCTCCAACAATGAGAGAGGGTGATTAATATCTATTCTGCCTAGTCAAAAAGCCATTGCAAGAATCAAGTGAAAATAAGGAAACACCTTCCAAAACGAGTTTTTCCTGCACTAAATAGCCAAAGAGTAGAGTGACCAAGAATGGAAGGAAGTATCAGCAGCAGTACAAAAACTGCTCCCATATCAGCAGCAGTACAAAAACTGCTTTTGAATCTCCCATCAATTCCAAGGACAGACGCTGTCGCTATCTGATCTGAACAGAGCTGGCTCCTTTCCTTACCAGCAGAAAACTGTGGTTGTCCTACTGAATCCCTGAACAGGCGCATTAGGGGCAAGTACTTCGTCTCATTGTCTAAAATGGAATAATCAAAGTGCTGATTTAAGTGTCCAAATACCCACTCTCACTACTCCGCACGTTTGGGAAGTGCTCCTACAGAGGAATTTTGTTTTTAACCTGCTTGTGCCTATATCGGACCTCATCATCTGACCTCTCCTTCACGTACTGGCAACCAGCATCTGGGATACTAAGAAAGAAGTATTGGAAAGTCAAAGCCAACTGATCTGCCCGCGGGTACCTTCTGGTGGCAGCATCGCGCAACTGCAGTCACCGCAAGGGAGGTACGGAGAACTACAGCGCCCCCTGGCTTCAGTTCAGGAAACGCGCCGAGGGCAAAGGACCAGGACTAGGCGAGCGATCCAAGGGCAAGTGCGCTGGGCGCTTCCGCGTACTTAGCTGTGAGTGCACTGGTTGGGCGGGGAGATGGTGCATGAATGTCTTAAAGTCTAGTACGCATGTGTGTAGGTTTACCTATGTTTGTTTTGCCCGGGGACTTGAACCCTGTGTATCTGCTGTGTTAAATTCGTGCCGTATGTGTGATCCCGCTCGTTCATACGCGGGTAAGTTGGCGGTAGGGAGGTCCGCGTCTCCAGTGCAGGGCGGAGTCCTCACGGAGGCGTGAAATTGGTTTGGAGCAAACACATTACAGAAAGCAATTAACGGGGAGAGGTTCTGGGCCCGCGGGACCAACAGCCAGGGGGCTAGGGAAGAAGCTCCCCAGCTTGCAAGTGTCTGTGTGTGTAAGGCCAGAAAGGACCTTCCTAACATTGCCCCTCTAAGCACAGCCCCCTTATATTGACCACTCCACTCCGCCTTTCCTTCCTTCCCCCCTCCTTAAAGAGGCATCCCATGATCCAACACTCTCCAGATATGGTCAGAAATTCCCCTCCCCGCTTCTTATCACTTCAAGGTAGGCACCCCCATTCTGTGAAGTCTTCCCAGATTCCTACTCCTACTCCTCACCTTCCTCCTCCTGCCCCCAGCTCCTTGCTCCCACATTTATTTTGCATCCTTTTCATTGCTCCTTGTACTCTAACTAGTTGTTCACAAGCGTGCTTCTCAGACTAGATTAAAAATTCACTGAGGGCAGGAGCATGTCTCATTCAAAGGCGTATATCTAGTACCGGAAACCTGGGGCTCAGGAAGCACAAAATGAAAAAAAGTGCATGGGATTAAATAGAATTTCCATCAAAATTCATAAACAGGAAAAGGAAAAGCCTGAGGAAAGTCACCCCCTTGAAAGTCAGAATTCTCTTAGAACAGAGCCTTAAACATATTTCACATGTCAGTGATCCCACATTTATATGCCCGTACTTGCCCTCGTCCCTGAACTAGATTCATAGATCGAAATGACCTTTGAACACAGCCTCCTTTGAGTTGTCTAACAGGCAGCTCCAATGTAATGTATCCGTCATAGCCCCTTTGATCCCTGCTCCTTTCTTATCTTCCCCACCCTAATAATTAGCATCGCCATCCATCCGGTCATCCTGGATGACGATGGATTCCTTCAGCCCCCACCCCCCTTCACTCCATCAGCAAGCCCCATCGGTTCTTCAGATCTCTCTTCAGATTCCAAGTTTCGCCCACGGTGGCCCCACCTCTCGCCTGGACGACAGCAGTGCCCCCCAGCCGGTCTCTCTGATTCGCGGTGGCCCCTCCCCCACCCACTCGGCTGCCAGAGTGACCTTCTAAAACCTACATCCCTTCATGTCGCCCCCCTGCTCTTGCCCACTCTGCTCACACGGCTGGTTCCTCCTTGTCCTTTAGGTCTCAGGTTAGATGTCACCTCCTCAAAGTGTAGGTTTCCCCCGGCCACCCTAAAATAGCTCCCGGCCTCTCTGTCGCTCACCAATTTGCTTTTCTGTCCCCAGCGCCTTTCAGCACCGGACGCTTGTTCAGGATTGCAAACTCCAGGGGGGACTGGAGGGAAAGCCCTTTCGCCCGTGCCCACAGCAGGCGCTCGAGCAGCCGTCGCACGAGCGAGTGAGTCCGAGGACGTTCTCCCGGGACCCCGCCTCGACCCGGCCACGACGGGGTCTCAAGCGAGCGGACCTCAGGCGGCGAGTTCCGCCCCACGCGCCTCGGGAACACGACTCCCAGTCCCCCGACCTCCACCTTTGCGAGGTGAGGCCCGTGGGGTCAGGGCCAGCCAGCAGCTTCTACAGCTCAGGGCCCCGACAGCCTGCGGACCCCCGCGCCAGTCCGGCGGCCGCCCTCCCCGCTTCCCAGAGCCGCGCCTCCGCACCTGAAGCCCAGACAGGTCAGCCCGAGGTCCGTGAGGCCAGGGCGGGAATCCCGACCCGCTCACCTCCGCTCCGCTTCTCCTCAAGTGCCTTCTCCACGCCCTCCCGGGCTTCGCGCTCGGGTCCTCGCCGCCTCCCGCCTCACGCCCTCCGGGCCCCGCCCCCAGCCACCTCGGCGGTTGGCGGGAAAGTAGCGAACTCCGGCGCGTGCGCACTCCGGAGCCCTGGGAAACCTGTCTAGCGACCCTTGACGTCACGGATCACAGTACACTTGATTGGCTGCTTTGTGCCTCCCTGGGTGCTGGGGCCTCTGGCAAGTTCTTAAAATCCTGGTACTGCAATGACCCTCAGGGAGTCTCCTTCTCTCTCGTTTTACAGATGCGGAAACTTGAGCCCGGGAAAGGGAAGAGACTTAGGTTCTGCAAGTTAATGGCTAGCGCTCGGTCATGTTAACTCTCAGCTCAGCGCTCTTCCCGCCACAAAGCTAACCTTAAGGAAGGAACAGGTAAAAGACAGGAACCAGGCGTGCACCTACAGTGGCAAGATCTCACCTGGTGGCCATTCTGCCATTTCAGGGGGCCGGCGGGGCAGGTTAGCCTGGGATCCCTCAACGGCTGATGGATGCCAAAGAAAGAGGGTGACGCAGCTAGCACTGTGGGGCAGACATGGGGGACCCCTGTAAGTCTGTCCATCCTGGCTGCCTTGCAAGGGAGCCAGCTCAGAGAAAGGCTTGTTGGAGACAGCACCAAGCAGAGGCCTGGAGATTTTTAATGCACATACTTGGTTTGCACATCATGCAAATTTGGGCCTCAGGAGAGCCCCAGGAGAAGTGTGGCACTTGCCACGAGTGCTAGGTCTCTCTTCATCAGACACTGCGTGGCTGCCGTGGTCCATCTGTCTCTCTCAGGTGGGAATCTGAGATTTTTAATGCACATACTTGGTTTGCACATCATGCAAATTTGGGCCTCAGGAGAGCCCCCAGGAGAAGTGTGTCACTTGCCACGAGTGCTAGGTCTCTCTTCATCAGACACTGCGTGGCTGCCGTGGTCCATCTGTCTCTCTCAGGTGGGAATCCCAGCATCCACATCTGCCTGCAGAGAGGGACCTCCTGCTTCTCCTGGAGAGGAGCGCCCCCTGCAGGCTGGGGCATCTACTTTCAGGCTCTCTCAAAAGGCAGTGGACATCTGGAAGGAGAGGTTTGGATTCAGAGTCGTCCAGAGGTCCCCAGGGTGGCCCAGTTCTGGCTAGGGCCCTCCCCTGCACTCAAACAGCTGTGACTGTCCACAGAACCCAGGGCTTACTTAGTAGAGCACGTCCTCAAAATCTAGCTGCAGGTAGCGGAGCAGGCGGAGCGGCAGGGGAAGGCGGGGCAGCGCATGAGGCAGGCAGCCCTCCAGGTGGGAGCGGAGTGCACAGCGGCTCAGATGCTGCAGTGATCTGGGCTGCCTCACCAAGGCGAAGAGGGAGGAGTAGAAACGCTGGTGCTCCTGGGGGCAGAATGAGGGGCTCAGTGAGGGACAGCCTGGGACAAGTGGCACACGCTCCTCCTTACAAAGGCAGGCTAGTGACAGGTGGGGTGTCTACTGGGACCTCTTGGAAGTGGTGAATATTATGGGTGTTCACTCCGTGAATTCTCTTCTTCTGGGACATAAGCAAGTACCTGGGTAATTTCTGTGGGGGACTGAAGAGGCTGCCCTTTAGGGGGTGGGAGTCTCTTGGGGCCAGGCTGAGTGACTGATTCTGTGTTCAGGATCCTGGGATCTGACCTGCAGGGTTTCAGGAGGCACCAGGCCCATGGCCTCCTCAGGAAGCTGCATGACACTGTAGGTGTTCATCAGGACCTCAATGGTTCGCGGGGATGTGCACCAGCGCTCCAGCACCTGGAGGAGGCAGAAGCCACAGCCTCTGTAAGATCTGGAAACAGCCAAGCGCCATCTCCCAGGCAGCATTCCTACATATAACCCATACATGCCCCAAACACACACAACTGCATGTAACAGGGGATTTAATGATACCTTATGTTGGTAGGATGCCTAACAGCATACCAAGTGCTTTCTCATACATGGTTTAACTTTAGAACAAGACTAGCTAACAAATATTGAGCACTAACTATAGGTTAGACCCTGTCCAAAGGTTTTATACATATTAACTCTTCTTCTCACACTAAACCTAAGAAGAAGGCACACTGTTATATCTCTGTTTTACAGACGAGGAAACTGGGCCCAGAGAGATTAAGCGGTTTGCAAGGGTCACGCAGGCAGTGTGCCTGGCTCCAGAGCCTGCACTCAGAGTCGCTGCTGACCTCAGGGGTTGTTGGCAGGGCTGAGGGAGCCCTGTAGTAGGGAGCACACCTTAAAACAGTGGCTGAATGTGCTCAGGGCTGTGCGTGCTCCTGCTCTTCCCCAGTATGCTCCCACAGCTTCTTATCTCTGTTAGGGAGAGGCCTTATCATGTGCAAGGAAGTTGGGGTTCGAAAAATTCCAGTGAGCTGCCTATTGTCACACAAATAAGCCAGACCACGGATCCAGGTTTCCTGAGTACCCAGTGCAACATGGTGGCTCTTAGGGAACCAGCTGGGGCTGGCATTTCATCACAGATGGGCACAGAGGCCTCCTTGCAAGGGGGACAGGAACCCTGGCCAAGGCTGGAGGGGCTGTAGGTCATAGGAAAGGGACAAATGGGGCACTTTGCTCTCCTGGCTCCCTTGGTCCTTGAGACAGGCTGAGGGGCAGAGCAGTGTGGGGAGGAGGGACAGCAGCAGGGTCCCAGGAAATCCGTTTGCTGCGTAGCGTCCTCCTCCTGCCCCCGCCCACAGGGAAATCATTAGCTGTCAGAGCTGCCGTCAGATTACAGGGAATTGCTCCTCTCCTAATTATCTGGTGTTAATAGGAGATTAATTAGTGTTAATTGTTGATTTTCTTGTATTTTCCCAAAGGGGAGACCAATCTGCCGAACTCTCGGGCTGTTTAATTATTTGGTCTTGCTTAGGAATCCAGACAGATGCTTCTAGGTTTGTGAGCAAAGGGGAGAGGCAGGGACAGCAGGGGTGGGCCCAGGACAGTGCGGAGCTAGGTGGGACAATCCCCTAAGTGGGGCAAAAGTGGACCTGCCTACAGCCCCCTGCTCTCTTAGGTGTTTCAGTGCTGACCAATCTCCTTCAAGAATGGGTGTCCCCAATCCAGGTCCAGTGACCTCCATGCCATTATATGGTCCCCTCCAGATACAACACAGCATGGGGCAAGGCTCCCTGTCAGGGCATCAACAGTACAGGTCTTCAAGTTGAACCCACTTAGGGGAAATTAATGTAAAGTAAGACATAAATTGAAATTGACAGTGAAAGTCATTTCACAGGCACCAGGACAGTGGCTGCTGGTTTGGGGGATGTGTGTCCTGTTAAGCTCTCAGAAAATGGAACCACATCCATTAGCAGATGTTTAGGAAGCCTTGAGCCTCATGGAACAGCCTGGGGCTTTGCTCTGGGGGAGCCTCTCCCCTAGCCAGGGCGTCTCTTGCTCAGCTGATCCCACTGCTAGTCGGAGCTTCCTAAATATTATTTTCATCAGCTCATTGCCTTGATGAAGACCCTTAAACAACTCCCTGCACCCACATCACTCCTGACTCCTTCTTCTGTCTTTCTGGATCCTTTACAATCTGGCCCCACTGCCCTCAGTCCACCTTCATCACACACACATGCACACGCACACACACAGTATATACACTCACATATGCACACAAACACACCTATGCACACTGTCACGTATACACGTGTACACTTGCCCATATATGCATACATGTGCGTGCATACATACACTTCCTGCTGGTCTGTGTCCTCACCTTTACCCCTATTTGGGCTTTTCTTACTAAGTGCAAGACAGACAGAAGGAACTAATTCTTTGGGCCCAAGTGTTCTGGTCCTCATTCCAAAGCAAGCCAAAGCACAGGTCTAGGTGTCCCTTTCCCCTCACCATCGCGGCCCTCTCATTGCTGTCAGCCCTCGTACCTTGGGCAGGGCCCCTGGCCAGATGCGGACAGCACCATGGTTGAGCAGAGCCCGCACCACGTGCTCAGGGCTCTGGGCCAGGGCTGCAGGTGGGCCCTGCAGAGCACAGTGCAGGGCCGTGTGTCCCCCATAGTCCATGGCATTGGTACTGACACCACAGGACAGGAGCAGCTCCACAACGGCCGCATGGCCACGGCGACAGGCCAGGTGCAGGGGCCGCTGCTTGTCCTGGTCAGCAGCATCGGCATCTGCTCCAGCAGAGAGCAGCAAGTGGCACAGCTGGAAGCAGCGGGTGGTGGTAGCCTCAGCATCAGCGGGGGACTGGCAGCGGGTGTCACAGGCAGCCAGCAGTGGGGTCCGGCCTTCAGCATCACGGGCATCAGGGCATGCCCCCCGTCTTAGAAGCAGGTCCGCCAGCTCCACATGGCCAAGTCGGGCAGCCACATGCAAAGGAGTCTCCTCTTCCTCCTCCGATCGACCATCCGTGCGGGCGCGACACCGAGGGTTGCGATCCCGTTACCGGTCATGAAAAAAGACAAAAAGGAAGAAAGGAAAGAGTGATCATCATTGGGTGTGATCTCAGGAAGGCCGGGCTGGAACACGGCCAGAACTAAAAATGTGGGATTCTGCAGAAATGCACTATCCATTAGAGTAGCCACTAGCCACATGTGGCTATTGAGCACTTTCAACAGGGCTAGTCCTGGGATGTGCTGTAAGTGGTAAATACACACTCATTTTGAAGACTTAGTACAAAAAAAAAAAGAATGCAAAATAAATATCTCATTAATGTTTATATTGATTACATGTTGAAATAACACCTTAGATATATTGTATTAAATAAAATATATTATTAAAATTATATATTATTAATTATATATTATTATAAATGATATATTATTAATTTCACCTGTTTCATAAATATTTTTACACCCATATTCATAGCAGCTTTATTCACAATAGCCAAAATGTGGAAGCAACCCAGGTGTCTATCAACAGATGAATGGAAAAACAGAATGTGGTAACCACATTCTATGGAATATTATTCAGCCTTAAAAAGGAAGGAAATTCTGACACGTGCTACAACTTGGATGAACCCTGAGGAGATTGTGCTAAGTGAAAGAAGCCAGACACAAAAGGACTAATGCTGTATGATTCCACTTGATATGAGCAACCTACAGTAGTCAAACTCATAGAGACAGAAAGTAGAATGGTGGTTGCTGGGGCTGGGGGGAAGGAGAAGGGGGAGTAATTGTTTAATGCAGTTTCAGTTTTGCAATGTGAAGAGTCCCAGAGACAGATGGTGGTGTGGTTCACAACAATGTGAATGTACTTAATGCCACTGAACTGCACACTTAAAAACGGTTTAATGGGCTGGCCCAGTGGCGCACTGCTACAGTGCGCCGCTTGGGAGTGCGGCGGTGCTCCCGCTGAGGGTTCGGATCCCACATACAGACCGGTTCCCGCTCACTGGCTGAGCGAGGGGTGGGCGCAGCACCAAGGGTTGCGATCCCGTTGCCGGTCCCGGTCCGGTACGGGCGCGACACTGAGGGTTGCGGTCCGTTGCCGGACACAAAAAAGGACAAAAAGGAAAAAAAAAAAAAACGGTTTAAATGGTAAATTCTGTTACATATATTTTACCACAATTTTAAAAATTGATTTTACTTGTTTCTTTTTCATTTTTTGATAAGGCTAATAGAATTTTTTTTTTTTTTTTAAAGATGACCGGTAAGGGGATCTTAACCCTTGACTTGGTGTTGTCAGCACCACGCTCAGCCAGTGAGCAAACCGGCCATCCCTATATGGGATCCGAACCCGGGGCCTTGGTGCTATCAGCACCACACTCTCCCGAGTGAGCCACGGGCTGGCCCCTAATAGAAAATTTTAAATTGCATATGTAGCCCACATCAGATTTGTGTTGGACGAGGCTGATACAGAACACATCTTCAACCATAATATGATTAAGTTCATGGAATCCTCTGGAGGCTGACAAGTTTAAGAAGAGGGAAAGGATCCACAAAAGGGGAGTCCGGGTATCAATAATTTGGCAGCTTTCAAGGGCAAGATGCGAAATCCAGCAGGTGTGCAGTCGGAAGAGATCTCTGTTGTATGCAGAGTTCATAGATTTGCCAAGCGAGCCTTTGCTAGGATTCCACATTCAGCAAAATATTGTAAGTGGGGACTCATCCTCCTGGTTTCCTTATACATAGGTTGTAATTATTTAGATCACTGCAAAGAAATATTCCCTACAGTATATAATGCACAGACACATTTGGGTGTATCTATCAGTTTCTTGTTTGTTTGATTAGTGACAGCCCCTTGAGCCCATTTATTTGAAGGTGCCCTGTGAAAATGGAAATGCCAGATCTGCCAAGTTGAGAACCAGACCCTGCCCACAGGGACCACAGCAAACCCTAACTGGGGCCACTGTCCTCTCCAGCCTGTCTTCATCCCTGGGCAGTAAGCTCCCTGAGAGCAGAACCATGGCTTAGTTGCTGTTGTACTTAGCACAGTGCCTGGAACATAGGATAAGCTCAGAAAATATTAAAACATCACAGCAACACCACCTCCCCATAATAGATCCAGACATGTCCCCAGTGCAGGCCATGCAGCTGATCCCTGCCACAGCCCTCTTCTACCCCTGGGGAACCAGAAAACTATCCCAGGTTCAGGACACTGCAAAGTTGATGGGGCCAATGGGTGGATGGCTTGGGGAATAATCGCTTCCTAACCTGCGCCCCAAGCCCAGGCTCCTCTACCCCAGCCCACTGAGCCCACCAGCCCCTCAAATGCTCCCCATCCTCCCTGTGAAGGTCTCTCTGCCTCCCCTGAGAGTGGAACCAGGGTTGAGGTGAGGGGTCACTCACTCGAGGGTGCCAGCCCCCCGGCAGAGATGCAAGGGGCGCTTCCCATCCTGGTCAGGGATGTTGGGGTCAGCCCCTGCCACCAGCAGCACGTGGGCACAGGCAGCATGGCCCACAGCACAGGCCTCATGCAGGGCAGTGCGGCCCCCAGGGGCACTATCCGGCCTCGCCCGCCGTCTCAGCAGCAGCTGCAGAACTTCTGTGTGGCCACGGCTGGCCGCCACATGCAGTGGGGTGGTCAGCTCCTCCTCATACGTCAGAGACCAGAGTCCTAGGGAGAGAGAGACATGGGCCTCAGATCCCGAGCGCAGGCAGAGAGCTGCCCACCAATGGGGTGAGGTGGGCAGAGGTGGGAAGAGGGAGCCCAGAGCTCATCTGCAGCCTCCCCTCTCTCCCACTCAGACCCCCCAGAGCCCTGGCCCATACTCAGAGCGCGGATGTTGAAGCGGAAATCTCTCCATCGCTCTGGGTCGCTGGTATCAAAGATGGAATCAGCAGCCAGGCCGGCACTGGAATCCGCGAGGATGCGGGAGACAGAGCCCACGTCCCCTGCCAGCACTGCCTGCCAGAAGGCGAGGGCAGGCCCAGAGGCCGTGCGGGTGACGATGGGTCTCGGGCCAGACTCAGGGTGCTCCTCAGACCCTCCACTGGGCTTCTCCACCAGCCTGGCACAGAGGGTGTGTCTGTCACCGGGGGGCTCTCCCTGCCCTCCACACTCTTCTGGGGACCAGCTCATGATCATGTGGGATGGGGGAGGAGGGTAGGGAGGTGGAGAGGTAGAGGCCAGAGCAGAGAGAGGGAGAGGAGGGAGACAAAGACAGATGGAGGCAGAGGGTCCCTGTGTCCTGAGCCCTGAGCCTGACCTGGCCACGCGGCTCAGCAGGAGCTATTCTGGGCTCCGCATGACTTCACTCCTGGGCCAAGGTTTAGGCTGTTGGGCAAGCTTGGGGTGAGGGAAAAACAGCCAGGGGCTCTTTTCCTCAAGCCCTCGGGACCTCTGTGCCTGAGGTGCTCAGCCCAGCCCCCCTTGTTCTCAGGCCTCTCCCCCCAGCTGTCCCTCACCCCTCTGGTGGCTGATCCAGCGAGGCTCAGCGGCTCGGCTCTCCAGCAGCAGGTCGGCTGTGCTGTGAGGAGGGAACAGCTCCTGCAACCTCGCCAGGTCCCCCGTGTAGAGGGCATTCTGCAGGGCCATGTCACGGCACAGTAGTGGTGATGGCTGAGGGGCCCCCCAGACTGGGCCCGACTGGAGCCCCCTGGCCCCACAGGCAGGGGCCAAGGGGAGGAACCCCAGATGGTGCCCATAGTGGGTAAGAGAGTTCCTTCCCCTAGGCATGGCTCATTTCTGGGAGAGAGAGCCAAAGCAGCAGGACTCACTGGGCCCGACTGGAGCCCCCTGGCCCCACAGGCAGGGGCCAAGGGGAGGAACCCCAGATGGGGCCCATAGTGGGTAAGAGAGTTCCTTCCCCTAGGCATGGCTCATTTCTGGGAGAGAGAGCCAAAGCAGCAGGACTCGGGACAATGCCGCTGGTGGCAATTAGCCCAAGCCGGGTGGGGCCAGTGTGGGTGGAGCAGAGAGCACAAACTGGCTGAGCCATAAATATTGTGCTCTCTGCTCCACCCACACTGGCCCCACCCGGCTTGGGCTAATTGCCACCAGCGGCATTGTCCCGAGTCCTGCTGCTTTGGCTCTCTCTCCCAGAAATGAGCCATGCCTAGGGGAAGGAACGTGGGTAAGAGAGTTCCTTCCCCTAGGCATGGCTCATTTCTGGGAGAGAGAGCCAAAGCAGCAGGACTCAGGACAATGCCGCTGGTGGCAATTAGCCCAAGCCGGGTGGGGCCAGTGTGGGTGGAGCAGAGAGCACAAACTGGCTGAGCCATAAATATTGTGCTCTCTGCTCCACCCACACTGGCCCCACCCGGCTTGGGCTAATTGCCACCAGCGGCATTGTCCCGAGTCCTGCTGCTTTGGCTCTCTCTCCCAGAAATGAGCCATGCCTAGGGGAAGGAACGTGGGTAAGAGAGTTCCTTCCCCTAGGCATGGCTCATTTCTGGGAGAGAGAGCCAAAGCAGCAGGACTCAGGACAATGCCGCTGGTGGCAATTAGCCCAAGCCGGGTGGGGCCAGTGTGGGTGGAGCAGAGAGCACAAACTGGCTGAGCCATAAATATTGTGCTCTCTGCTCCACCCACACTGGCCCCACCCGGCTTGGGCTAATTGCCACCAGCGGCATTGTCCCGAGTCCTGCTGCTTTGGCTCTCTCTCCCAGAAATGAGCCATGCCTAGGGGAAGGAACGTGGGTAAGAGAGTTCCTTCCCCTAGGCATGGCTCATTTCTGGGAGAGAGAGCCAAAGCAGCAGGACTCAGGACAATGCCGCTGGTGGCAATTAGCCCAAGCCGGGTGGGGCCAGTGTGGGTGGAGCAGAGAGCACAAACTGGCTGAGCCATAAATATTGTGCTCTCTGCTCCACCCACACTGGCCCCACCCGGCTTGGGCTAATTGCCACCAGCGGCATTGTCCCGAGTCCTGCTGCTTTGGCTCTCTCTCCCAGAAATGAGCCATGCCTAGGGGAAGGAACGTGGGTAAGAGAGTTCCTTCCCCTAGGCATGGCTCATTTCTGGGAGAGAGAGCCAAAGCAGCAGGACTCAGGACAATGCCGCTGGTGGCAATTAGCCCAAGCCGGGTGGGGCCAGTGTGGGTGGAGCAGAGAGCACAAACTGGCTGAGCCATAAATAGGAGCGCCGCCGCGCTCTCAAGCGGCACACTGTAGCAGTGCGCCACCGGGCCGGCCCTCAATTCATCTTTTAAAAGTTTAATTTTCTTTGGTTGACAAATAATGATTGTATACATTTATGGGTACAATGTAATGTTTCAATATATGTATACCTTACAGAACGATCAAATCAGGGTAGTCAACACATCTATCACCTCAAATATTTATCATTTCTTTGTGGTAAGAACAATTAAAATCCTCCCTTTTAGCTATTTTGAAATCTACATTATTATGAATTATAGTCACCCTACTGTGCACTAGGACACCAAAACCAATTCCTCCTAAATGTAACTTTGTACCTGTTGACCAGCGTCTCTGCTTTCCCCATCCACTCCCCCACCTCCAACCACCCCAGCCTTGGATAACCACTGTTCCACTCTACTTCTAGAAATTTGACTTTCTTAAATTCCACATACAAGTGAGCTGATAAGGTATTTGCCTCTCTGTGCCTGGCATATGTTGCTTAACATAACGCCCTCTAGGTTCATCCATGCTGCCACAAATGATAGAATTTCCTGTTTTTTTAAGGCTGAATAGTATTCCATCGTGTATATATACCACACTTAAAAAAATCCATGCATCCATTAATGGAAACTTCGGTTGTTTCCGTATCTTGGGTATTGTAACACTGCAACAAACATGGCAGTGCAGACATCTATTTGGCATACTGATTTCAATTCCTTTGGGTATATATCTAGCAGTGGGATTGCTGAATCATAAGGTAATTCTATTTTCAGTTTTTTAAGGAATCTCCATACTGTTTTCCAAAACGGCTGTACTAATTTAGGATACTACAAACAGCATATTAGGGTTTCCTTTTCTCCACATCCTCTCTGATATTTATCTTCCATCTTTCTGAAAACAGCTGATCTAGTAGGTAAGAGGTGATATTTCATTGTGGTTTTGATTTGCATTTCTCTGATGATTAGAGATGCTGAGTGTTGAGCATTGTTTCATGTATCCGTGGGCCATTTGTATGTATTCTTTTGAGAAATGTCTATTCAAGTTCTTTGCCCATTTTTTTAACAGGGGCATTTGTTTTCTTGTTATTGAGTATTTTGAGTTCTTTGTATATATTGGATATTAGCCCCTTATCTGATGTATGATTTGCAAATATTTTCTCCAAATCCACAGGTTGTCCCTTCACTCTACTAATTGTTTACTTTGCTGTGCAGAAGCTTTTTAGTTTGATGTAATTCCATTTGTCTATTTTTGCTTTTGTTGTCTGTACTTTTGGGGTCATATCTGAGAAATCTCTGCCCAAACCATTGTCATGGAGCTTTCCCCCCTGTGTTTTTTTCTAGTAGTTCTACAGTTTCTGGTCTCTCACTGGCTCTTGCTGCCTGTGGACACCCATTGAACCTTTATTCACATACTCTGTGTATTGCCCCTGGGTCTGCCTCTTCTGAGAGAACTTTGGAGCTTCCCAGCCCTCAGTGGTATGGTTGGCCCTGCTCCCCGAGTTCCTGAACCCTGCCGACCCCTGAGCTCTTCTCTCCCCAGCAAGGGGGAACCCACAGATGGACTCCCTCCCTAGGGGTAGGAGGCTGTGGCCCATTGAGGCCCCAGGGATAGGCCATGGGTCAGAGGATGGACTGCAGAGCTGGGGCAGGCCCGATGGCAGGGGAAGGAGTCTTTGGAGGAAAGAGGTGAAGACAACTCAGACAAGGTGCTGGGTCTGCCAACAGCCCTTGTCGTGGCAACAAAGCCGCCCCAGGGATAGGCCATGGGTCAGAGGATGGACTGCAGAGCTGGGGCAGGCCCGATGGCAGTGGAAGGAGTCTTTGGAGGAAAGAGGTGAAGACAACTCAGACAAGGTGCTGGGTCTGCCAACAGCCCTTGTCGTGGCAACAAAGCCCCTCCATTTCCCTGCACCCTTGCTGAGCCCTCTCTCCTCACCCCACCCCAAGCACCCTCACCTCTTTGACTTCCCAGGCACTTGCTAGAATAATTGAACCCTAGAGTAGAGAGGGACCTTAGAGATCGGCTGGTCCAATCTCTCCTCACTTTATAGGGAAGGAAACTGAGGCCCAGAGACAGGAGAGGACTATCCAGATCACACTGGAAGTTTGTGCCAAGCGGGGTTAGAACCAGGGACAGCTCACCTCCAGACTCTTGCTTTTTCCTTTTTCTGTACTTACTGCGGACCTTCCTTCTCCCCTCTCTCCTCCTCTTCCTATTTTTTCTCCCTTAAATACCTTGAGGAGGAAGAGAGTTGGGGGGCCAGGCCAGGACAAGGAGAGGGAGATGAAGACATGGGGGTGGGGGTGAGGACAGGGATGTGGAAGCCAGAGCCGAGAGGGCAGAGGGAGGTGCGGTGGAAGGCCAAGGCCAGGCACAGGCGGGGCCTGGAGGGAGGGGCGGGAAGACTGGGACGTGGATGGACAAGAGAGCTCGTCCCTGAGCCATCTGGGTGTTTATGCCTCGGGGCACTGCCCAGTCCCACCCCCTCATGTCGGGCACCCTCCGCCATCACTTCTTTCTCTTCTCCTTGGCCAGCTGGGCCTCCCTGGCCTCCAACTGGTCCTTGCTAAGTTTCATACTCTTCTTGCCCAGTGGAGTCTTGAAGTACCAGTCCTGGAGTGGCAGGGGAGTGGGAGGGGCAGGTCCCTCGGATCCCACCCTAAATCTGCCTCCTGACCTCACCCATCCCGTTTCCTCAGCAGCCTATTCTTCTCTCCTCCTGGGGTGCAGGGGTCCTGTTGGAGGTGGTGCTTCCCTTGCTCCCCACCAAATACTCCAGGCCGCAGTATCAGCCTTCTCAGGGGCAAGCCCTCCTCCCTTCACCCCTGCAGTCCTCTCTCCTGGGCTCCCAGGGCCATCCTACCCCCAGGGGTGGACACTGACTCAGAGGTGGAGAAGTGGGTGGTAGCTGGTGCCGAAACCAACCCAGGGCTCCTAATATATAGGTGGCCCTTTCGGTCTCCTACCCTCAAGGAAACCAGGTGAGATGGTCCTGCACACAGACCCCT